CAGCAGCCCTGCCCTGTGTGTAGTAGTGCACAGCCGGTGCAGGGAGGCGATTCACCTGCTAAGATCTAACTGTAAATAAGTGAATAGGTAAGTAAAGAAATAAAGTGTGGCTATTCTATTAACTGGAACAGTCGTCTTTGTAGGTGGGCGGTTGACAAGATCCTAATTATAAGAAGAGATCCCGTGATAGGGAAAAATGCAGTCGTATTTTTTTCTTGTTCTTAAAAGTGAAGGGAACACACACACACACACACACACACACACACACACAGGTTTTCTTATGTCCTATGCAAGGTGGTTGTTCCCCAGTGCCAGTAAAAGAAGAGAAAATTCTGTGAAAGCTTTTAATGAGTTCTAGTTTTAGAAGCAATCCAAACAGTCACTGGGTGACTTACACGTTTACCAGATCAGGCGTTTCTTTGACCCCTGGCATCCTCCCGCCCTCTGGTTGCCCACACCAGGGCACGCCCTTCCATGCCTGCCGCCCTCCCGCCTGCCGCCCTCTCGCCTGCCCTGGGGCAGCTCCAGCACCCAGGCAGGAGCGATTCTGGGCCCCAGTGCAGGCCCCACCTCCTCAGGCCTGGCCTTGATCTCTGTCACCCCAGGAGTGAGGGCTGGACTTCTGCCTGGAACGTGGCTCTCACCCGGGTCCCTGGTGGGATCCTGATCCCTGGTGAACTGCGAACCCACAGGTGTGCCTGAGGGTCAGAACCTGCCTGCCTTGGGCCCCTTCTCCCTGGAGCTGGGGTCAGCCCAGGTGCTCAGGGCCCAGCTGCCCACACAGTGACCAGAGGGCCACTGTCCATGCCAGCCGCCTGCCCCAGATGTTCCCCTCTGTGCTCCTGGAAGTGGCCCGCTCTCTGGGCACATCGTAGGGTCAGCGACAGGCTCAGCTCCAAGTCCCAGTTCTGCTGCAGCTACAGGGTCACGTTCAGCTCCTCATTCCTCAGTCCGTTCTGCAGACCAGCGCTGGGTGCCAGGATGAAGGAAAGAACCCTAGGAAGTCCCGGCACCCTGGAGTGATCTGGAGGAAGAGGCACAAAGACAGGAAATGCTTAGCCTCCCTGCTCTCCTTCCACGGAAGCTTCCGTGCAGAGGCCTGGACCATTCTTTGGCATCCAGGGCCACTGAGGCAGTCTTGAGGACAAGGGTGCGCCTTGCCCCGATCCTGCCAGTGAGCCAGTGACTGCACAGCCAGGATGGCCCTTGTGGCAGGACCTGGGGTCGGGGGCTGTCCTTGCTCTGAGCAGCCCTCCGCTTTCATTCCAGGAGGTCCCTGCCACGGTTGCCAGGAGGAGGTGGGTAGTGGGGCCCTGGTGGCGCAGGAGGAGGGGTCGTGGCCCCAGGCTCACCACCCCTGTCCAAAGTCAGTCCTGTTCTACACAGGGAGTGCACCCCAGGATGGAGCCAGGCTGGCCCTGCCCTGGGACTGTGGGGAGGGTGGTTTTCTGCAGTGAGCTGTTTTCCAGAACACAAGAGTCGGAATTTCTTAGCCATGGCTGCTTGCCAGGAGCCCAAGGCTCTGGTAAAATGAGCCTGCGCTTTTGTTCAAGCTTTGGTTCCCCCTTTTGTTCAAGATGAACGATGTTCACTCATCAGTGAGCGCCTCGGAGGGATACTAGGTCAGAGCTGGGCGAGTGGGGCTGGCTCGGCTTCTGCAGCAGCAGCTGGTACATCGCTGAGGGGAGGTCCAGGGCAAAGGTTGAGTGCCAGGCACCTTGGGAAGGGGGGCACCTAAAATGAGCAAGAGACGTCTTCATGTAAAAGCTTGCATTTACCTCCAAGAGGTCAGGGAATGCCAGTCCCTCTGTACGTGGCTGAGGCCAAGTCTCCTGTAGCTGGGACGTCGGAAGCCCTGGTACCGTGAGGTCTTGGTCACCTCTCCCAACGGGCACAGCCTGCTTGTAGTTTCGCCCGCTCACCGAAGGCTCTGGGAGTCTCTGTGTCCGCTGCACTGGCCGTGGCACAAGCGTTCCTGGGTCTCAGTGCATCCCAGTGCACAGTGATCACTGCTCCCCGCCGACTCTCTCTGCTCACTTCAGCCAGTGGGGGTGGGGCCCCCGGCAGCGGCCCCGGCCCAGGGTGCATGCTGCCACCCCCAACTCCTCTATCGTACTGCCATCCCGACAGGTTGTTGGTGTGTTTGGTGGGGACCTGGGCAGGGCATCCCCAAGCCACACCAGACAGCAGGCGGCCAGGCCAGTGATGACTACAAAACATCCTGCCCAGGAGGAACCAGGCCCTGGTGGAGAAAGTCTGTGAGCTGTTCAGTGGCCATAGTGAGAGTGTTCCCAGTGTCCCCACGGAGCTGGAAAATCATCTTGGCCTCCACATCTCCGAGGGGGCTTTCCCTGACGCCTGGAACATGAGCCATCCGTACACTGTCAGCATGTCAGGGACTCTGTGTGACTTGGGGACACCATATCCCAGCCCAGGCTGTCCCAGTTACTGGATTTGACACTGCTGCAAGTGGGAAATGTCCAGTTCAGGAGCCATGTGTTCACGGAGACGTGACTGGAACAGCAAGGCCAGGACTTAGGGATTTACAGCCCGGGCAGCCTGGAGGTCCTGGGCCCTGCTCAGCTGCACCCCTCCCTGCCCTGTCCTTGCTTGCCAAGGCTGTGTCCCCATAGACTGGGCAGGGGTCAGAGCCAGGCCTCCCACCCAGGACATGGCAGCACCGCGCCAGCATGGCCCTGAGCTTCTCCTGCTTGGCTCACACACATTAAGCCCACCGGCTGCACCACAGGACATCCCAGAGGAAGGCCTGCCATCCCTGAGTACTGACTAGGGGCCCTGGGTCCCCATCCTAGAGGGAGGCTTCAGTCCCTGGGTGGGGGGTAGTGACCTGGGTTGGGTTCTGCCTAAATTTGGGTTGGATGCTGGCCCCAACATTTTCCAGCTGTGTGTCCTTGGAGAAGTCACTAACTCTCTCTTGTGACCCAGTTTCCCTGTCTGTAGAGTAATAATGGGTGCGTCACACACAGTGTGGGGAGGTGAGTGGGTTGCTGCCTGTGAAGCCCTTAGGCCCCATGAGCCCCTGAGTCCACGTGCAGCCAAGGCTTAGGGAACACCGGGCCTGGCTGTGCTTGGTGGCAATGGTCAAAGTTGGCATGTGACAGGGTTGGTGCCTGGCCTCCGACAGAGTCAGGTCAGTCACCAGGAAGTCTGTGAAGGTGGGGCTGCTCTGTCCCAGGCCTGGCTGAGCCATGAGTCATGACCTATGTCCATCTCAGGTGGAACCTAAGCTTGGCCTCTGGGCCTGTGCCATCATTCCCAGAAAAGGTGGTGGTGACCGGGCCAGGGCCAGGGCCAGGGCCAGCCGGCACCCATCCTTCCCTCTGCCTCTGCTCCCGCCACACACACAAACTGGAGCTGAGACCCTCGGGCCGCACGCTCCCCACCACCTTCCAGCCATGGGCCGGTTCCTACAGAGCGGCCGCCCAGCCCATGCTGTATTTAAGCCCAGTAATTGAATTGCGGTTGATGGTACGTGTCAGTTTAAGATCACGCTAATTGCTTCATTTCCCAAAACACTCCCGAAAAGAAAATGAATTTCCTTGTAACATTTTTGCGGTGGGGTGAGATGACCTGGTGGGAATCAATCCTGCCTCCGAATGAGCTGTGGAGTGGGTGGGGGTGCTGGGCGGGGGTCACGGCCACCCCTCCCTGTATCTGCAGGCATGTAGGCGCTGCCCCCTGGCCCAGGCTCCAGCCCAGTTGTGTGCCAGGCACTGCGTGAGGGTTGGCACAGCCGGGCACCTGTGCAGGAGGGCTGGCTTTGCTGGGGCAATGAGTGACAGATGTGCCCAGGGCCATGCAGCCGGCCAGTGGAGGAGCTGTCCTCTGTGCAGCGTGGCAGGCAGGAAAGGAGTGCCTAGTCAGCGGGCACCAGTGCGAGTCCCAACTCGTCCCCTTTGTGAACTGCCCGGGATGTCACGGGGCCTCTGGAGCCCCCACTGCCTCCTCTGTCAGGCGAATGCCAGGACCTCTCCTCGTGGCTGGTGCCTGGTGTGAGGGGTGTTGTGTGCCTTGCCCTCAGTACAGGCCCAGGTGTGTGGTCTGAGAGTGGTGTAGCATGTCCTTGTCATCATCGTGGCCACGGTGTTGGAGCCAGGAGTAGGATGAAGCTGGATAGCATGAAGGACGCAAGAGGCCAGTGTGCTATGCTGGGGTAGAGGGTACCCTCCACCCCCCCATCCTTTTACCATCCATCCACCCACGCACCCACCCATCCACTCACCTGTCTACCATCCATGCATTCATCCATCTACCCACTCATCCTTTCACCATCTATCCCTTCATCCATCCACCCCCTCCCACCCCTCCACCCATTCATCCTTTCACCATCTGTCCATCCATCTACGCCCCCATCCGTCCACTCATCCAGCCATCCATCCTTTCACCGTCTATCCACCCATCACCCTTCCATCTGTCCATCCCGCTCCATGGGGACTTTTGAGCAGCACCTGTGTGCTGGCCCGAGCTCGGTGCTGGTGCACGTGGAGGGGAAGTTAGGACCTCCTGGCAAGGAGCCCTCAGGTGATGGGGATGGCGTATCTTCAGGAGCAGCCCAGCAAGGAGTTCAGACAGGGTGCTCTGCTGTCGTCTCTGCAGGGCTCCACGACAGTGCTGGGGACACTGTCCTGTACTAGATGACAAATCCCCAGGGGCAGGCCTCGGGGCCTCTGTACTCAGTGGAGAAGCTGAAGGCCCCTGGGTCCTTGGGGAGCTTGGGGTTTGGCCTTGGAGTCAGGACTGAGCATTCAGGTCCCCGCCCTGCCTCTGACTTGCAGTGACCCGGGGCTTGTCCTGGGACCTTCTAGGCCCTGGTCACTCCTTCTCTGACAGGAAGTGGGCAGACCGGCTGGTCACTAAATGCTGTGTGGTTCTGGGTTCTGTGGGTGCCGCCGTGCCCCCGCTCTGGGCTCGCCCTCTCTGATGCCCTTGGTCTGTGCCCCGCAGCCCCCATTCCTGATGGCTCCGTCTTGTTTCTGCAGAGCGACTTGCTGGATGTGAATCAGATCATCAAGGACTTGGCCTCCATGGTGTCAGAGCAAGGAGAAGCCATCGGTGGGTACCACTCCAGCCTCGGGCCACCTGCCGGCCCCCTGGGCATGGGCAAAGCTGCCTCTGAGACTAGCGAGGCCCAGGGCAGGGTCGGGCCTCCTCCAGCCCTGAGGAAGGCCAGGTGGGGCCTCAGGCAAGAGAGCAGCCCCCAGCTCTGCTCAAGAGCCCTGGCCCCCCTGCCCACCCCCGGGGCCTAACACCTGCCTGAGAGCATAAAGGGTGAGGACGGGCAGTTCTGGGCGGGGAATGCAGTGCAGCTGCAGCCAGTGCCCATCAAGGTTGCTGGGGTGTGGAGCCCAGGGCTGTGGTTCTGCCACCAATGTGCCTGCATGTGTAGGGGCATGGGGACAGCACGCTGGGGAATGTGCAGACCCCACCAGGGCATCCTGAACCCCGCCTCCACCCGAGACTGGCCATCTCCACACTGCGGTACTCTCAGCCCTGCCTTCCTCACTCAAAGGAAGCAAAACAGCGCAGGGAGGCCCAGGGGGAGTCCAGTGACCAGGAGGAGCTGGGGGTGGGAAGAGCAGGGGCGTGGTGGGGGCAAGTGGTCTGCAGCCCTGTCCCTCTGCCCCTGCAAGCCCCAGGGGAAGCCCCACCCTTTTGCCAGGGGAGGGCCCCAGGCAGCCCTGGCAGGTGAGAGGTCAGGATGAAGGGGCTGAGCGTGCAGCTGCACCCACAGCGAGGGAGGGGCCTTCCCTGCCAGATGGGACATAGGCCACAGCAGCCAGGTGACCTCTGACCCCCGCCCAGGCCTGCCGACTCCACAGCTCTCCCACCTAGCTCTCCTCAATCACCCGCCACCAGAACTGGGGGAGGTGCAGTCCCGGCCCTCCTGCTGCCTCTGAGGGGTCACCTGTGGGCTTTCCCAGGGAGGTCCTCCGGCCTCACCCTGAAGTCTGAAAGCTCTGGTCCCCCAGAGCTGGCTACCTGCACTCTGAAATGAGGAAGAAGCTATTCCTAAGACCCTCTGTCTCTGTTGGAGTTCCCGCCTAAGCAGTTAGGTCCACAGCAGTTTGAAGATGATTCTGGAGGGACTGGTGGCCACTGAGTGCCAAGATGCTGCCTCTCGAGGGCTGAGTCGGCCAGGCACTCCCAGGCTCATGCCTGCTGGAGTCTGTCACCTGAGCCCTGCAGCCAACTGTCCAGGCCAGGCTCTCAGTGGAGACTGGGTTAGTTTTGACCCATGTGCCCTGGCCTCCTCTACTTGTTCAGAGCTCAGGGAGAGCCAGGGACGTTGGTGCCCTCTGCCCAGTGCAGTCAGATAGAGACCCTAACCTGCGCTCGTTGCGCCCATGCTGGGGCTTGGGGGTGTGCAGGTGGCTTCTGAGGGGCTCGCTCACCTTGCTGCCCTCCCTACGAGGGCCCTGGCCTAGGCATGCCAGGTGTCTGAACTGGCAGGGCAGGAGCTCCTGGTGCTCTGGCTGGGCCTCTTGTCGCATGAGCTGGGAAGAGCAAGGCGTAGAGTGGCCGGTCCCCAGCGTCCAGAGGAGCTTGGTTAAAGCAGTCACCTGCCTGCCAGGACCCTCTGTTTTCTGAGCTGTGGTCTCATTTGGGGCCTGCAGTGAGAACCTCCCCCCAACTTCTCGTGCTAACAGCTGTGTCCCGAGGCCCTTGGGCAGCCAGCATCCTTGTCCTGGGCGCTGTGCTGCTCTCCAGGAGACATAATTGAGGCACAAGCCAGGAGGCCGGGCCAGAGGCCGCCATGTCCCCTGCCCCATGCTGCTCCCTGGTGCCACATGAAGCCACCTCACCCCTCGGCCCCACAGAGTCTGGGCTTCCACCTGCTCCCCGGGCCTGGACATCACTCCCTAGGCTGCTCTGTCGCCCCCTCACCACTTCCGCTCCCAGGACTGGCCTGTCTCCTCACCCTGCCCGCTCACCAGCTGTCGGCCTGCAAGGATGGCTGCAGCCGTCTCCACCTCTGGCTAGCTGCTGTGGGCTGGGATGTGCAAACGTGTGGAATGGCTTGTCCGCTCCGGATGCCCGCCCTGTCCCAGTGACAGACCGATCAGATGGGGCCATCCCCCTGTGGGTGGAGAGAGTTGGGGAGGGGCATCCACACCAGCAGTTCAGGGAGGGAGTGGTCTTGGGTACAGAGACAAACCAGGGTGACCTGCCACACAGGTCAGGGGGAGGGGAGACAGCACCTGGTAGTGGGGCAGGCAGGAAGCTCAGAGTGGCCGTGACACCAGGCCCTGATGCTGTGGGTGCAAGCCATCTGTGCCAGGCACTGATGCGGGGCCACCCACTGTACACTGACAGGGGCCTACAGTGACCTGGGGCCGCCAGCCTGCTGGCACCTCCTTCCCACAGCCTCCGCCCACTGCTCAGCCTCTGGTGCCTTTCCAGGGTCCAGCAGCAGCAAGGCCACATGCCGGCGGAGCTCCAGCCCTGAGCCAGCCGTGGCGGCCCTGCTGCCGTGTGCTGGGCCGGGCTCCACACCCCTGCGGCCAGGCCCCCACTCCCGCACCAAGACACGCAAGCCCAACTTCAGCCCCCAGGAGACGGAGGTGCTGGTGCAGAGGGTGACACGCCACTACCCGCTGCTGTTCGGGGCGCTGCGGGGCACGCCGGCCCGGAAGCACCGTGTGTGGAGCAGGATCCTGCAGGCAGTGAACGCGCTGGGCTACTGCCACCGAGACCTGGGTGACCTCAAGCATAAGTGGCGAGACCTTCGTGGCGCTGTGCGAAAGAAGCTGGCTGAGGGCGGCCCGGCCCCCAGCCTCATCCTCACGCCCGTGGAGCGCATGGTGGCAGAGACCTTCTCCTCCCAGGCTCCCCAAGGCGAGGCTCAGGTCCTGGAGCCCTTGCCAAGTAAGTGGCCTGCCTCGCCCAGGCAAGTAGGGCCAGCTGGCAGAATGTGCGCACAGCCCCGAGAGGGACCCGTCCAGGGAGACCCAAGGCCTGCGGAGATAGCCCCTCACCCTCCTGGCCCCTCTCTGCTTCTAGATGGGGAAACCAAGGCTTGGGGCCGGAAGAAGAGCTGAGCTGGCAGCCAGGTTCACCCTGGCCCGAGCTCAGGCTCCGTCAGGTTGCCAGGCTTGCAGCTGAGGGGCCATGCCCACTTGAGGCACTGGGCTGCCTTTGTCCCCACCCCAGGTGCCTGGGTGGGATGCTGGGCCCTATTTCCACTTCACTGTAGAGAGATGAGGACCGTGATGGGGAAGTAGCGAGGTGGCCGCTGGGACCCACGAGGGTGAGGTGCAGAGACAAGGGGCGCAGCAGCTCGGGGGCGGCAGCCCAGGGGCAATCTCTAGGAGGAGTGTGGCAGGAGGCCCTCTGGCCTGGCCCACAGCCTGGCCTCATCCATGCCTAGCCCTCCCTTGTTGTGGCAGAGCACAGCTGTCGTTAGGCTACCAGGCTTTTAAAACCAGCAGGTCCCGGCAGAGAGAAGACCCCACTGCCCCATGCAGGCAGCAGGGCCTAGCTGGCCGCAGGGTTTGAAGACGGGAGAGTGTCTGGGAGGAAGGGGGCTTCCCTCTCCCCTCCCTCCTTCCCTGGAGCCCTGGAGTGTAGCCACCATGTGGAGACAAGGCCACCCAGCAGGCGTGAGAAGCGGAGGTGACCTGCACATTAGTTGATCAATGTTGTAGAGTTTTGGCAGAGCCGGGGAGGACCCCGGGCCCAGCTCGGCCCTTCGGCCTGCCTCACTCCTGGGTGCCCACACCCTCCTGTGGGCCCTTCGTCCTGAGCTCCCTCTGGGGCCCCACGCCTAGTGCTCTCCAGCGGCTCTCAGCCTCCCAAACACACTGTCCTCCCATCTGAGCCCAAACCACCTTTGCCAGAAGTTTCTGCACTTGGTGGGGCCCCTTCTACAGCCCACAGCTGCCTCTGGCTCCCAGGGCGATGCTGGCTCAGACCCTGCGCCGCCTGCTGCCGCCTCTCCTCTCCTCCTCATGCCGTGGTCAGGAGCTCCTCCTCCTCCTTGAAGCTGAGCCCCACTGGACTTTACCCTTCCTGGGGAGCTGCCGGAAGGACTTTGGGAACGAAGTACTGGGAACGACACCAGCTCCCTCCCGAGAGCCATGGTCTGAACAGCAGGATCCAGCCTCATGGGGACAAGCAGGGGCCAGCGTCAAACACCCCCAACGGGTGGCCACAATAGGACTTGAAGCCCCATGGCATCCTGCCCTGCATTGGTGCTTGTGACCAGGACATGTGGCACAGAGCAAACTTGGGCTGCGTGGGAGCCATGGAGACCCAGGAGCCCCCCTGCCGAGCCCATGGCCTGGACAATGGCCTTTCCGTGGGGCGAAGCTTGAAGGAGGGACCCGCCGGTCCTGCCTGTCACATCTAGGGGGCCCACACACTCTCTCCTACAGGGTGGGTCCCACAGCCCATGGTTCTGTGGGCAGCAGCAGATCTGGTTTCGGGTGCTTCAGGGCAAGGGTGGACACGCCATGTGGGGCTAAGTGGGGCTGGCAGCGGGTGGTGCTGGTGTGGCCTGTGTGCTCAGGCCCTTTCTGCAAGTTCCCAGCCTGGAGGGCTGGCAGGAACTCAGACATGCTCACCCCTGTGGTTTTCTTCCCTGGGCTAAGGCCCAGCCCCAACTTCTCAGGCCCCCTGGTAGGCCATGGCCCTGGGCTCACCTCCATCAGGGAGCCCAACTTCCTGGTCCCTGGGTGCCCATCAGCTCGTTGTGGGAGTGGCCTGGCCCACTCCTGACGATAGCTGAAGTTTGTTGAATGACTAAGTGAGAGAGTGCTTGGGAGGGGGGCAGACTTCCCCTGTAGGAGCTGAGGCCAGGAGTAGGGAGGTGGCTGCAAAGCCTGATGATGGGGTAGGGGACATCACCGCTGGAGGCCCCAGTGCCCCAGAGCTGGCTGAGCTGCCCGCTTTGAGTCAGTGCTGGCCTGTGGCTTGGGTAGGGCCAGGCCTGCAGGGGCATATCACAGCTGGGGGGTTGGGACAGTGACTTGACAGAGTGCATGGGGGGGGTCTCCCACGGGGTCCTTGTGCCCTGAGACCACTAGGTGGGCACACTTTCCCTTGAGGCATTTCTCCTGCCCTTTGTGTGTCTGGAGAGGGGACGGTGCCAAGGGGATTCTCTGTGGCCCCAGAGACCAGGCCCAGCGTTTGGGCGTCCCATTGACTCCTGGAGCCAGGAGTCCTCTGAGGCGGCTCCCACCAAGCAGCCCGACGTCAGGGGTTGGAGAATGCCCAGGGGCGTGTGGCTCTGCAGGGCTGACCCTGCAGACCTGGGTCTTCAAGACCAGGCAATGAGCAGTCAGAACGCAGATTGGTCTTGTCCGTGCATAGCCCGGGAGTCACCCCTCCTGCCTGTCTCTGAGCAGTGCCATGTGGCAGGACACCACATGCTACCTGGCAGCCCCCGGGGCTAAGGGAGAGGTTGCTGGTGCAGAGCCGGGTGTCTGGTTGTATGATGTCACCAGGGTAGGACTGCATCTGAATTTGGGGAGTGCCATGCTGGCTAGGAACACCCCCAGGACCGCACTTGGCCTGCGGCTTGTACGTGAAGCCCACAGGGCACCAGGAGCTGTAGTCTCTGTTCTGAGGGGGCCTTGTCTGCAGGAGTCGTACGAACCTCCAGGTGGTGTGGTTATAGTTGGAGTCAGGCCTCAGAGTGTCCCTAGGCTCATGACTCTGTGTAGAGCAGGATCGGGCTTTATCCAAGTCCAAGGGCAGGATTCAGGCCTTAGCTTAGGCTGTGTGTGGTCACAGGGTAGATAAGGGACCCAGCTGAGGAGTGTGGCCTTTCCAGGGCCACCTGTGTCAGCCTGGATCTCTGTGCCCAGATCATGGTGGCATGCCTTCTCCACTGCGTCTCCCCTCTGTGACAGGAGCAGGGCCAGGTTGCTGCCGCTGGGGTCCGCAGGGGCAAGGTGGCTTCTGTGCACGTGAGCAGGGCAGTGCCATGGCAGGGTCAGGCCCGGGTAGGCACCTCCACCCTGGCAAGGCTGGTCCTGGAAGGAAAATCCCGTCTCCAGCCCATCCTTCCTTCCCCTCCAGCCCTCCACTGGCTGAGGGGAGTGGCCCTCGATGTGATGCACGCAGAGCGCTGTGTTCCCTGGGGGCCGCTGCAGCCCACCACAGGCTCCAGAGAACAAGGGGTGCTGGGCTCCAGAGCAGCTGGGGCCATCGCCTACTGCCCCCTTCTCATGCCACTGGGTTCCCTGTGGAGGGACCGGGGGCTCCCAGATGGAGTGGTAGGGTGTGTCTGCGAGTGCCTGTGGCCCTGCTAGGGCCCTAAGCTGGGGTGAGGATAGGGCCCTAAGCTGGTGGACCATGGGTTAAAGGGTCCCTGTGAGGCCTGGGTGGGGGACTTTTCAAAAGCAGGGCCTGGGGCTCACAGAGACGGGGTCACCTTTCCCTGATCAGAGCGGAGCCCCTACGGGGAGGGTGGGGGCAGCCCTCTCTTCCTGAGGACCCTGCTCGTTCAGAGCAAATCCTGCAGAGCCGGAGAGGATGCTGTGCCCAACAGCAGTGACTGTGGTTGTGACAGCCTTCCCTGTCCCAGGCCTCGGACCCCCTGAAGCTCAGGTCAGCTCGGAGCCGTGCCCAGATGCGCACTACAGATGCATGATTTGAATTTGAGTGTTTCTGCCTCCCAGATTCTTACCCAAATGGCTGATTGGGAGGCATGCCTTCTGAGGGATGTTTCTTCCTTGAGAATTAATGAGCTTGCCTCGTATGCATCTGACCCGCCAGCCAGCGGGAGTGGCAGGGTCTCTGGAGGACCGGGCTGCAGGCAGGTGCTGCTCGTATTCGGGTGGTGCACGGCCTCCCCCTGTGGAGAAGAGGACGCCAGGTGTGGAAACTCGCCAGGTCCCTTCCCCAGATTCAGGCCCGGCTCCTGCTGCACCAAATGCCCAGGTCTCGGCTACCCACTGCCTGTGTGCCCCCTCGGCCAGCCATGTACTCCTCGTGGAGCTGGGCGGGTTCAGTTTGCGTTGCTGCCTTTCTGCTGCTGGCATGGTTGTATGGAATCTTTCAGTTTCCTGGGGCTGCTTTCAGGTGCCCAGGACCTGCCCCTGGGCCTTGTCTGGCGATCATATGTGCCCTGCTGGTGTGACTTCTTTGCCCAAAGTCACTGGTCCCCCGTCAGTGCCGCGCTGTGGTCTGGATCAGCTGGTCAATGTCCACATGCCAAGGGCCAGTGCGTGTGGATGCCTGGAGCTCTGCCAGTTCGCAGCACTGCCAGATGTGCTAAGACAGGGGCTCTACCCCTTTGGGAGGGCCATGCCAGAGGGTAGAGGGCCCGCCCCAGGGCAGAGCCGTGGTGACAGTAGACCGACTCCGGCTCTGGCTCTGGCTCTGGCCTCCCCACTGCAGCTTCCACCCCGTCCTGAGTGCACTCATCCTGCCCTGCCCAGTGGGGTGCTGAGAAGTCCCTTTCCCCCAGGAGCACCTCCAGGCCTCTGCTGATGTCACTGGTGGGCCACAGCCCACGCCAGATCCCTTAGGTGATATCTGGCAGCCCAACACCTGTCCATGCAGCCTCTGCTCCTCTGGAGGCTGGGCCTCCTTGTCTGGGCCTCCCAGGAAGCCCACGTCGGGGGGAACTCAGGGCCCCCAGATGAGCAGAAGCAAAGTCCATGCCATCGACTCTCCGCTGCCCTAGGCTCAGGCTTCCTGGGGCCGGGGGTGCCCTCAGGGCAAGGATGGCTGGATCCCTACTCTGAAATTGCCTTCTGTGTCTTGATTTGCAGACAGTATTGAAGCTGTCATTGAGGCTGCGTCCTCGCATGCGGAGGCGGCCAGCGAGCGCCTGGCCAGAGCCAGCCGGCACCAAGTAAGTCAGTGTCAGGGCGAGAGTGCCCTGCTGGCCTGTCCTCTGTCCCTCCATCCACGTGTCTCTGAGCCCAGGCCCTGCTCCGTACTCAGGAGGGGCATGCCCATAGAGTATCCTCTGAACCAGGCACTGTCTCAAGCCTTGGGGGGCGGGAAGGGCTGGGGAGGGGGCTGCAGTGGTGGTCTGTGCGGCCTGGGTGATCAGCACCATCTCCTCTCTCGTCGGACCCCCACTGCCTTCTCTCTGGAGTCCCGCGCCAGGCCTGTGAGGTGGGTCACCAGGGCCTCTCCCCAGCTGCCCAGCGAGGCTGGCGGGCAGTGGATATGGCGCACCCACAGGGCCTGGCCCTGGCGGGTCCCCCTGTAGGTGGATCCCTCAGGAGATGGCAGTACCCTGTGGCCACGTGGGCTGAGCTGCACCTG